ATAAATCAGCAGTGGGGAATTAACTTGGATGTCTGAGGTGATACTCTTTTTCTTTTTTTTTTCTTTCTTTTTTTTTTTTTTTTTTTTTTTTTCTGGTCATACTTGGCTTAGTTTTACTCAACATCTCCTTGTAAAATAAGCCTATGTTCCTCTGGAAAAGCTACCACTTCTGTGCAAGTTGTGCTCCCTCTTTCTGTACTAGCAAAGAATTCTCCAAAGATGTTGTCAATAACTTTAAGGCGAAGTCTGTTTTCTTCTGTGAAGATGTCTGGATTGTATTTGGAAAGAGGGCAGAAACCTTTATAAGAGGGGCTGAGTCTGTGCGCTACCTATGTAGCACAAAGGCTGGCTTGGGCATGTGATTCGAGGCTTGATGTGAGTTACAATGAGCTGAAAGTTTAAAAGAAGTTTCTTGTTGTAATGTCCTGCCCACTCTAGGGCTAGGCTGTAGAAGGTTTTCTAGCTTGTCAAAAGGAATTAACTGTTAGTGGTGCCAGGCAGGGGCTTCTTCTTTGCCTGGTGGAAGAATTCTCCTGAGGGCTGCTGAGGCTGGGCTCCTTGGGGAAATTTTTTCTTCTTCTAAATGCTTGTTCTATAAATTTAGAAAGCTTTTATGCAGTATATGGCTGTTCCATGTAACCAGATCTTGTATGGTATGAAGCACGTTTAGCTTTGAATTGTGACAGATTCCAGGACTAAGAAAAATCAGGCACACCAACAAGTTGCTAGGTGCTATCTGTAAATTAGCAGGCCTGCTCGATTCTTAGAAAAGAAAAAAAAAGTCTATATTTGCTCATTTAATATTGGCTAATTTTGTGGGAATGATTCATTTATTAGGTGAGTCAGTTATCTTTCACTAAGAGAACACAGGCAAAAAATCACTGGAATGAACCTCAGCTTTAGAAAGCCTGCAGCAAAAGACAAACGATCCTTACAGTTGCATGCTTTTCTGGAAGGTCTGTGTGAAATTATTGTAAGGGAAAAGTTTTCTTGCCTGCAAATTCTCTGTTATTCCAGTAGAGGGTAGTTTATCCTCTAGGAAGCTAGGTGTGTTGATGGACTGATGAGGAAAGATGCCTGGATGATTCCAATTYCCTTTTATCTGGAGATAGGGCAGTAAAAATTAACTTCAACAGATTGACCTCAGCAAATTAACAAATGCAGAGACATTTTCAGATGACAGCACATTTTTGGGCCGGACCTGGATAAAGTAAAATTCAATGCCAGTCCTGTTCCTGTGCTGCTACCAGACACTTCCTTTACCCTGTGAGGATTTCTGCAGTTTGCTGCTTCTGCAGAGAATGGTGTTGTTATCAGCCTGGTGCTTTATTTTAAAGCAGCCGTCACAGCACAGTCTTGTCCCCGAACCGTTGTGGTCCTCAGCCCTGAACTGCAGTAGCAGCAATTCTGTTGTGGGAGCACTAACGGGTGCAGAGAGCGCCAGAGCCTTCAAAGGACATCAGAAGAAGTGATGTTGATCTGCAACTGTTCTGCTGCCGTTTTTAGATGAAACCCAGTCATCCAGAATTTGCTTCCATTCCAAACAACAATCCAGCTCCTCATAGATATTAGCACTAGAAACAGTTCCTCTCAGATATGAGCTTTTTAAATCTGATTTCTAGTGAGAGTGATTTGGGACACTGGGAATTTTTGATAGCCAGCCCCACAGAGAAAACTTAGCACAGTTTTGAACTGCATGTCACCATGGGACTCTGTGGACCTTGCAGTTGTCACACAAAGTTTTTAGCCCTGCCATTGATAAACCTCTTAATTGAGCAGTAGTATATCAACAACCACTATTTAGCATCTTATTGCAATTCATTTGGCTTACTCAGAAATCAAATGCAATGATCACTATACTGATATTTTAATTTTGAGCTTCTATATTATTTGCTTTGGAAAAAGAAAATACTACCCCTTTAAGAAACCTATGGTTTCCTATGGTTAGAAACCCTTTGAATAACCTATGGGTAACCTATGCTTAGTGTCCAGCATCCATGAAGATACTTTTATTGCCTGTGTGTTTCCTCTCTGGCATATGGGGCTTTGTTCTCCTTTTTAAACAATGTTTCTGATCAGTCAGCTGATTTGTAAGGCAACTTTACTTGTATCCTCCTGTGCTCCAGCCTTCTCCTCTGCTCCCTCAGCTCCTTGCTCCCTCCRCGTTTGGACCTGCATTCAGAAATGACACATTATTGTTACTGTATATAAACAGAATAGATCAGAAATGAATAATGGATCTAATTTCTATTAGAGTTTTTTTTTTCCTGATTAGACTGACTTAATAAATTACTTTTATTCCACTTTTGACCCAAATTCTATGTAATCAAAGGAATCCAGAAAAGCTGCTACATGAATTGGTAGAACAAGATTTTTGTCCTGTTCTCTGCTGATTATACAAGAAGTCTACACAACTAATCTCTTAGGTCAGGCACTTTGGTTAGCTATTGTATTTATGTGGGATGATGCCAGGGCTGAATACTTCTCCAAAGTTATTGTTGTCTAAACATGAAACAGACCAGGGCAAGTGAAGGAACCAGAAGCAGCTTTTCCAGTGCCAGAATTGCAATATTTCAGTCCATTGCAATCTCAGTGGCCTGGCTTGCCTTCCAAAGTGGAGATGGCTTTGTCTGGAGAACACAGACCCATTTATAGCTGATTTAATGTATTTAGCTTGAACCTAAGACTGTTTCATTGATAAGCAGTTTGCAAAGGGCTAGTGGCTGGTTGGCTGTCACTGTGGACAGGTCACAGATGGAGAATCTCTGTGCTACCAGTTAATATGCTTTAAATAGCCGTAAGTAAACTGTGGACTACTGCATTCTATGATAATCAGTTAAACATTTCTTCAAGGTATTTATTAATTTAGTAATGTTTTTGAGCTGTTTGTAAGTAAGACCTTATATATATGTATATGTGTGTGTGTCTCATTTATACATGTCATATTCGTCATTACAGTATCTGACTACAGTAGAATAGCAAAATTGGAATAAGAAATGTACTCTATTCTCTTTAGAAATGTAGCTAGGTTATAATATTGTATAAATTGAATTCCCAGTGCTGTTTTGTTCACCAGCTGGAAAGCCTCTCGATGTTGGAAAGGCATTTGGTCTGTTTGACATAAGGGTGGGGGAATGTTTGTGTAATTATAAATGTTAGACTTGCAAACACGCCTTTTGATTGCAACAGCCTGAACTTCCACATGTCAACAGGAATCTAACTTTTCACAAGATAAACCTTGGTTTATGTACTTTCTTATGTATTTTCTGTGTATTTTCAGTATGTATATTACTAAATTGTAAGTGAATTTTACATGTGTGGCCATTTAAGATGAAACATTTAGGTAATTAAGTACTCTTGACTAAATGCTCAGTTACTACAGCTATTGTATGTAACTGTAACAGTTTTGGTGTTGTGATGAAATCTCAATTCACACTCTGTATGAGTAATTACCTGTGATCACACAGGCTTGTGATATCTTGTGCAGTGCTGCTAAGCCTGATACTAATTTCAGAAATGTTGGTGCCCGACGTTAAACAGGATGAAGGAACTTCAGAGTATTCTTTCCTAGATAGATAGCAGGAAAAAAGTAAGTACTGTCTCTACA